GTGGAAAGAAAGCGGGGGGGGGAGGAAAAGAGACATTTATAGATATGCCATTAGAGATCCATAATGTCTATCGGCTTGCCTTAACTGGAAGCTTACGCGGCGTGTCCGAGACTGGACGCCGTTGAAAAGTCCAAAGGTTTTCGATAGAGGGTGGGGGCACGTCGGCTTTATCGCAGAGAAGGCAGAGATTAACAATGGATTTTCATTAGTTATTTCTACCCATCCATCCATCCAGAAGTGCTTGGCCATTGTCGTCCTTCAAGATTTCTCTTTGACTTCCTTGCCTGGCCTGCAGCCGTGGGATTTCCTTGTGGCCTCCCATCCAGATTTACCGATGCAGCTTCATTTTTTCGAGGCTGGCTCGGGGGTGTTGCCTGTCTGTGCCTACGTTTCAGCTTTGGGTTGTCCTCTCCTGAAGGGCCTGATCCACCTTCTAACCTTCCCTGGAACTGGTGGTTGAAACCAAGGCGGTGACCGCCATCCCTCTGTTCGTTCTGTCTGAGGCTGTTGTACTCCCTTCTCTCCCCCCTGAATTTCACTTGTTCTGATACTGGCAGGGAGGGAAAAGAGATTTCTCCATAGTCTCGTTCCGGCAGGGAACAATGGGCTGAACGAGGCTTGAAAAAGAAACTCAAAGACCACTATTGATTGTATTTCTTAAGATTCTGTAGTCGTTTCTTTTCCTCCAGTTCTGGTCCATTCACCTGCATCCTAGCCTGGGTTTATTGCACGCAAACATAAGCTTGAGGGGGAATATATTTAAATGTTGTCCCTGTTGAAACCTCGCTTGGCGCTTTCCACCTTTACCTTGTAAACAAAGGCCTCCCTCGTTTGGTTTGGATGAAGGTTGCCTGTGGGAATGGTGGAGAAAGGGACAAAGCATGGAAGGATTCCCAAACAGAAAAGAGAGTCCGGTTAGAGAAATGCAAGAAGGAAAAATGGACAACTTGTGCTTCAGTTCCCACTTAAAATCACTACTTAGTAATTTCATGACCTGTTTAATGTTTACAAGCGATAAAAAAGACTCCTCCTCCTCCTCCTCCTCCTCTTCTCCTCCTCCTCTTCTTCTCCTCCTCCTCCTCTTCTCCTCCTCCTCCTCCTCCTCTCCTCCTTCTCCTTCTCCTTCTCCTTCTCCTTCTCCTTCTCCTCCTCCTCTTCGCCTCCTCCTCCTCCTCTCCTCCTTCTCCTCCTCCTCTTCGCCTCCTCCTCCTCCTCTCCTCCTTCTCCTCCTCCTCTTCGCCTCCTCCTCCTCCTCTCCTCCTTCTCCTCCTCCTCTTCGCCTCCTCCTCCTCCTCTCCTCCTTCTCCTCCTCCTCTTCTCCTCCTCCTCCTCTCCTCCTTCTCCTTCTCCTCCTCCTCCTCCTCCTCCTCCTCCTCCTCCTCCTCTTCTTCTTCTCCTCCTCCTCTTCTCCTCCTCCTTCTCCTCCTCCTCTTCTCCTCCTCCTCCACCACCACCACCTCATTTTTCTGAGGACCTTTTCCTTGTTGTGATGCCCCACAAGATCCTTGCAAATGTCTTAACAAAGAATGTATTGCCCCTCAATGTTATATGACAACTTAGTTGGGCCAAGGAAACTTCTCATACACAAGACATGTACCCCTAGCAAAAATCCCGATTTTCCTGGAAAAATAACGATCCTGGCATCCAGAGCTACTTGGGACTCCCTTCTAGAGTGGTTAATTTTCAACAATTCCACAATGCTTAGTTAACAATTTAACACCACAGGGCAGAGGCTGGGTGCTGTGCCTTGTGGGCGACCGTCTTCCCTGGAGAGCGGATGGCTTAAGGTCTGATGAACAGAAGCAGCGTCTGAGGACCCCAGATGTTCTCTCAAAACGTTGGCCAGCAGCAGGTCTGATGAGAAGGGGATGCGAGGCCGAGCGTCCTGGCCTGGCCTTTTCGCAAACCGGCCCTTCTCTCCAACCGGGCAGGATCCAGGCCCGCGCGGACGCTTGAAGAGGTCAGAGAGGAGAAAGGCAGATCTTTGGCCTCCCAGCCGCCTCTGGCCAGGGCACACCTCTCGCGTTTTGGACACCGTTCAAGGGCCTGGATGCGCGCTGCTAGAGGAGGAACGGCAGCCTGCGAGCTTCCCCTGCTGCACGTTCCTTTGGGCTTGCAGGCCGCCCTGCGTCACGCAGGTACGCCCAGGTGAGCCGGTCCACGGGTCTCTTTGCAAAGGGGCCGCCTCTCTGCTCTGTCGAGTTCAAAATGTTGGAAGGTGGGGCGGGGAGCCAGTGGGAAGGAGAGGGGGCTAAGCAGTCTTTGTGAAACAGTGAAACAAAAAGGAGCTTGTGAGAACCCAGACTTTTGAAAACAAAACCATCAGTTATCAGGGAAGCACGACCACTTCCTTCTCGTGCTGCAGTCTTACGGGTTAGGCAAATCACCGAGCCAGAGGGAACCCCCCGTCTCTCGTGCAAACGTGCAAAGTCGCCGCTTTTTCTGGCCTCCCCGCCTTCCACCTCTTGGCGAACTTCAAAACGTTTATCTGTCCAAGAGTGGCCAGTGAATAATGCCCATTTTTTGCCAGCTTTGCTCTCTTACAATCCCCTTAAAGACAGACACCACCATCACCAAACAGTGGGAAGTTGGCAATTTTCTGGTGACACAAGGCTCTTGGCTAAAAAATGCTCTGCTCCAGCTTTGAGCAAGAGGCGATCCCCAAAGCGTTTGTGCAGAAGTACTTCTTAGGAGGGGGTGGTTGGCGGAGGACAGTCCGTATCTCTCATGATTTCATGACAGGGTTTTGTTAAGCTCCAAGTCGGTGGTTAACGGTTTCCAAATTAGTTGCATACCTTGAGGTGGGTTAGGTGTGAAAAAAAAGTCACGTATCTGTGGCTGGATGAATGCTGGAGGTAAGAGTCTCATTCTGAAACACCGCTAATATCTCTGCCTTGTAAAGGAGTAGTAATTTGGGGAGGCTGGTTATATTCTGCTCATTTTATGTATTTTCAGTATTTATATACTGCCCTCTTAAGGTGGTTCATGCCACAGGAATGTAATGAGTTCATAGCAACATAGCATCAGAAAATACAAACGCCAGTATAGAAACCGCAGAAACTTAATAGCTAAATCAAAGTGGAAAACAAGCACAAACTCTTTAAATATTCATCATGTGAAATTCTGAGCCATTAAATCCTAAAAGCAGATGTTTAAAAACGTAGCATTTGGACGAGGTGGGCAAAACAAAAATAATCCAGGGATATCTTTCCAATTAAACTCAAATGCTTTATAAAGAGAGACGTGAGAGGTTTTTTTTTTTGAGCGTTTGGAATTGCTCCAGGATGTTGTCGGGTCACCATTCTCCTTTTTGGTGCTGAAACTGAGGACTAGCAGCTTAAGAAAGGAACATCCCGTCCAAACATGGCTACTGTTTTCGTAAGCAGCTTCTTGAGGTTTCCTCCTGGCAACTCTGTCCTTGGCTATATATGAAAGCATCAACTCATGGCTAAGAGGCATTAAATCTTAGGAGTCCTCAGCCATGAGGCGTCTCTTAGCCCAAAGTCACGGAGACATTGCAGGCTTTACATTAAAGTACTGGCCTACATTCAAAGCTTGAT